AATTCCCCCATCTCTGTTAAGGTACCACATGCACCCAGTTACTCAGCCAATAAAACCGGAATGTTTCTTGACTCTTGGCTTCCCTCAACATCCAAATCTGATCATTTACCAGGTAATATTGAATTTAGTTGATTAACTCTCATCATCTACCTCTCCATCCACTACCTTACTTAGTTCAGACCCTCGAAGAGCTTCTGTTGTCCTGCTGCTGCTGCTGCTAAGTCGCTTCAGTCGTGTCCGACTCTGTGTGACCCCACAGATGGCAGCCCACCAGGCTCTGCTGTCCCTGGGATTCTCCAGACAAGAACATGTAGTGGGCTGCCATTTCCTCCTAGACCAAGGCAAATACCTCAGTATGTAGTTTTCTTTTTCATACACTTTTCTCTCATCAACCATCCCCATAGTCTCTAGAGTGAATAAATGTACTACAGCCATCCTGAAACTAAAACTCTTCAAAGTACCTCTGTCACATACAGTCTTAGATTTAAGTTCCTTAACAGAGGATACAAGGCTATTCATAACCGGGACTATCTCTATCATTACAGATTCATCCCTTGCTATTCCCTGCCTTGTGACGAACACTACAACAGCACCAAAACGCAGTGTTTATCACACCAGTAACTTTGCTTATGCATGCATGTATGCTAAGTCATTTCAGTTGTGTCCGACCCTTTGCAACTCTATGGACTGCAGCCCGTCAGGCTCCTCTGTCCATGGGATTCTCCAGGCAAGAATACTGGAGTGGGTTTCCATACCCTCCTCCAGAGGATCTTCCCAATCCAGAGATCGAATCCATGTCTCTTTTGTCTCCTGCACTGGCAGGCAGGTTCTTTACCACTAGCGCCACTTGGGAAGCCCAACTTTGCTCATGTAGTTCTTTAAAATTCCACCAAGATCCTACCTTACTCTACCTAAATATTTCTAATTCTTCCTTTAAGATATAGTCCACCTGTCATCTCCTCCATCACACCTTTATGCAAAAGTTGCCATGTCCACCATCAATGTTAGTGATTCCTTAATATGCTATGTATAGCTTTGCATATGTGCATGCTAAGTCACTTCAGTCGTGTCTGACTCTGACTCTTTGTGACTCCATGGACCGTAGCCCACTAGGTTCTTCTGTCCATGGGAGTCTCTAGGCAAGAATACTGGAGTGCATTGTAATGCCATCCTCCAGGTGATCTTCCCAGTCCAGGGATTGAACCTGCATCTCCTACATTGACAGGCAGGTTCTTTACCACTTGCACCACCTGGGAAGCCCCATGTATAGCTTTAAGTAAAGATAAATACTCAGGGGAAAAGTAAGATATGAGGATAGATTTTAAAATATAAAAGATACATTAACTGAAATAAAAGATATATCTTAGAGGGATATCAATAAAAGGTAACATGATATCCATTCCAAATATGTTTGTTTAAATTTTGAATGTGTTTTAAACTACGCACTGATCAAAGATAATTTTGCCCTGGTCAGTGCAACTTGTACAGAGGAAAAAAGTCTTGATCCCTAATATTAGTTAAATATTTGCTTCCTGAAGTAATATAAAAGAAGTTTAGCAAACATTAAGCTTCTATTCATCTGTTCCAAAGAGACAGCATACATATTTTATTTTACAAATGTGAAGGAGAGAGGCCAATGGTTCTGATTCTTCACATATTGAGGATGCCATGTTTAGTTAACTATTATACATTTATTCCATTCAGGAAATTCCAGATTTTATACAGCCAAACTATGGTCCACTTGAAACTATTAACACATATTTATTCATAGAAGGGGAATTCCCAGACCATGACAGTAAATGCCACCTTGAAATACAGACTGGGAAATTGAATGCTTAGAAAGTTGGTGCCGATTTCTTTTTATTCTTTTCACAATCTTCAATAAAGAGGTCACTTTTCCTTGGAATGTTCAGTCATTTTTTTTCTCCAGTAGGTAATTAGAGGGAACTAGGATAATTTAGATCAAAAACCATTTGGCAAGAGAAAGAGATTGCTCCAGACTTGGACTTCGTCAAAAATGTAAAAGAAGAACAATGAAGCAAGGGAACTGAACTGAGGATGTTTCCAAGAATGGATTCAACCCCCAGATATGTAAGTAAAGTGGAGGCAAATTGGGAAAGGTAAAGGGGTAAACAGAGTGGATAAACGAATCAGTGAGTTAAAAGTAACTCAATGAAAGAATAAGAAGGAACCATGTGCAGTTATTGTCCAAGAATGAAGCATTTGTAATAACTATAAATGGAAAGTAATCTTTAAAAGTTATATAAAAAAATGAATTTTTTAAAAAAATTTCAAAGGTAGAACAGTTTCAAGTGATGATAATATTCAGAGCATGGCCAGGGGAGTGAGTAACTAAAGCAGAACTGAGAGTAAAGCTCACTACCTCCAATTTGAGATGGTTAAGGAAGTGAGTGGGTACTAAATAGATCATTCAGGTGAATGCTAACATTGACAGGAGAAGGAAATGGCAACCTACTCCAGTATTCTTGCCTGGAGAATCCCAGAGACAGAGAAGCCTGGCGGACTACAGTCCATGGGGTCGAGAAGAGTTGGACATGACAGCACACACACACACAACATCATTCAGGTACATGGCAGGAATTATGATAAAGAGGAAAACTAAAGCCACATGCTAAAATCCTCAGTAAATAAAATAGTATATCCAAGAAGTCAACAGATGATAGCAACATGGAAGGAAAATGCATGGCTGTTCAGCTGCAATATGTACAAAGGTACAGGGCTTAAACAAGATGAATTAAACATTATGGTAATAAATAAAGGAGAAGGGATAGCTGACTAGATGAGTTTTTGTATCTTCAATAATCCCCAGAATCTCATAGTGGACTGAAGTGGGAGTCAGAGAACTAAGTAACTCAGAAAGTTAGCAGAGAGAAATAAATGATCAAAGTCACTTAAAAAAACAAACAAATGAAGGAAATGTTAAGCTGAAAATTCAATACAGTATTTACTGTTTCTGTGGAATACAATAAAAATGCAATAGGCAAGAAGCCTAGAGGTAGATGAAAGAATATTAGCTATATATTCTGGTTCTTGGTATGGGCAGTAGATTCCTAAATGTTTATTTTACTACTGTGCTTTGAAACACGCAGATATGTTTTTGTATGAATCAAACTAATAATAATAAAAGATAATATTATTGAAAGCAACTAAAGAACTACATTCTTAAAATATCTATCCAATTTTTCCAGAGTAAGTATACACTAGACTCACAACTTTGAATCATTTAAGTGACAGCAAATCTTAGAGTAAGTTATTTGATAACTTGTTTTCTAAAACTGATTTTCCTAACTGTGTTTTCCTTTAATATAAACATCAGTGATACTGTGTGCCCTGACCACAAACTAAATTATGGCACAAAAGACAATTCAGAAATCCCTTTCAAAACAGGCCAACTAGGCTGAGGTTGAGAAACTGAGCGAGAATATGAAATTGATAATCAACCTAGAGCTGTTCAAGGACTGGATCTATCTATGTTGGTTCACTGAAAGAATAAATAATAAGAAGCAATTTACTTATTGATAACTAAGAAAAATAGAGGGCATAAAAAACTAATGTGATGCATGATTTTAATTTATATTTAAGTGGAAAGATACCAGCACAAGAATTCTATAGTCAATAATATCTCATTCATGCCACCCACCTTAAAAAAGGTCTTACCCAATTATAAGGATAAGTATATAACTATTTTTCACATTTTTGTAAGATACATGTATAATCATTGTAACCAAAAAAACAGTCTGAAAGTAATATACAGCAATAATAAAGATGACAAACACTAACAAGAAAAAAAATGAAAATTATTTAGTATCGAAGCAAAATAATAGAAAAAGAGACTGAGAAAAGCAAAAGAAAATAAAACATAGCAATAACCATTACTGTACAGTAAACTGATGGCACTAAATTTCAGATACACGCACAGAAAGACATCACAAAACTTGAATTATCAGGAATTTATTGTTGATACTATCTCTTATGTTTCCTTCCATATTTGTCTAAATGAATTCAATCTTGGGCATTTACCCACTAGTTTCAATTATTTTTTCTAAGCTCTTTCATTATCAACTCTCAATTAACTAAACTAATAAGGTAAAAGTGGTCACAAAGAACCCAAAGCACTCTGAAACTATAGTCAGAGTGAGTACAGCACATTAACTCCCTATCTGTATAGCAGAACCCACAACCACATTATCATTGCTGTTCTTTTCTCTGCCTACAGGGCCTCAAAATGTCACTGAACTGGCTCAAATCCCTACAGCTATGTTTAGCCTTGAGAAATTGCAAGCTCTAGAGACCTTCTTTCCCTGCTAGATTTCCTTCTAGGAATAACTAGAGAGGTAATCCTCCTTTCTCTTAAACACCAGATAATTTATATTTCTCTTCAATACAAGGAGAATGGTAGTAGAGTAGAAATGAACAAGGATTTTCCCACAAACCCATTATTCTCCAGGGATCCAGACTCATCTACTATAACTAATGAGTAGATCACAACCACCCTTGATAAAGTAATCATAAACCTGAGTTCAGTCTCATAAACCTCTGTCCAATCTAAGCACTTTTCAAAGGCTGCTTTGGAGGGAGGTAGAAGTGGGTTGTTAGGATATGTACCACAATCAACTAGTGCTGTCTGAATATCTATTCATGAACTCTCCAGAGGAAGATGAGCTGTCAACTGTATTAATTTTCTAAAATATTGTTATTCTACTTTTCCATGTAATGATTCAAAAGTAATTTCTGGTGAATTACATTTTTAGAATCATCACAGAGATGATCCCAGCCCATTAGGGGGAAGTTATATTTTTGACATTCTAATACAATAAACTGTTTATATATGCTTTATTTTCTACTTTTTTACAAGGATAATATTTCTATATTTCATCATCATCCACAAACGTATATATAAAAAAGAATAGAAGTGAGTTAATATCAATAGACAGGCACATGCAATTCTACGAACATACTCAATTGTAAGAAAAAAATACCTGCCATCCCTGTGATGATGTTCAATGCTCTGACTGTATCTGGAGCGAGGTAGAGTAAGAAAATGACTGCAAGCATGGCAGAAACAAGAATACAAATGAGACTCAGGAAAGAAATGAAGACGGTATAGTTTAATTTTTAAAAGTGAGATTCAAAAAAGATAAGCAGAGAGCAAGCAAAGCAAATGAAAATCGTTACTGAAAGTTTGCTCCTTCTTCCCAATGTCCATTGTGATACGGCAGTGCTAAAGGTTAAAATAGTCTAAATAGTTTAAAACAAAACACAACAAAATGTAACAAATTGAGATTTAAACAAATAATATTTAAAAATAAAATCTTATCAATTATCACAAACATCTTCAGCACCATCTATAAAATGTATATAATACAGCTGCTTCCTCATTTTTGGGGAGAAAAGGTAGGAAAAGAAAAATAATAAAATAACCAGAAAGTTTGAGAAGAAAATATTAAAAGAGATAATTTCTAATACTTATCACATTTAGGGGATTTCATAAGGCAATTATTTTTTTTACAATCATTACTAATTAAAAGTAACTAAAAGAGTTTATAAAATCTCATTTAGTAGGGAACAAATTGAATACTTTGTTTGAATATTGCTTTATTTTGAATATTAATTATTTGAAATTAACTTTATTTGAATATTAATTTTATTTTTAAAATGTATTGGATGCTATTCCATTTTCCAGTCACTGTTTATTACATGTTTTTATTCTGCTGCACTTCATGCCTCATGACTTACCATAAGCCATCAAAGTAGTACATTTTCATTTTTACCCCTCTGTAGCTGATTCTCTTATTTCCATAGCACTAATATAGTTTAAAAATTTTTTTAACCTTCCATGTCAAAACACTTAATTTTGGCATATTATCACAATGCTTCAGTAAAAAATGGAAGCCCACCTTGATCTCTCTCAACATCTCTAAAGAAGACATATACATTTGTATCTTCACTTGTTCTATTCTTCTCCAACAAAGGAAGAAATTCCTCTACTTGTAATCCTACTTCCCATATGGCCTTGCTTCATTCATTTTTGTCTCATGCCTTCCCTTCCACAATCACATTTAATTCTCAGAATAAAACTTCAGTAACTTTGCCTTCCTCTCTCTGTCTTTTTTATCATAGAACATCTTTTAGATGTATCTACAATTCTTGCCATCACTTTCTCACTTTTCAGTCATGCTTAAAGTTTACTGTAATTGACTTCTGCCTCTACTATTCTCTTCAAGGTATTCTGTGAGTTTTATCTGTGAAATTCTAAAAAATCTTTTAGTTTCTTCTTGATCTTCATTATGCTCCATTTATCTACGGCTTTAGACACTGATTTTTAACCTCTATTTCTTGACACTCTCTTGGTTTTTGAAAACACTATTCTCTCGGCTATTACAAATTTGTGTGTGAGCTCAGTCATGTCCAACTCTCTGCTACCCTATGGACTGTAGCCCACCAAGCTGCTCTGTCCATGGAACTTTCCAGGCAAGAATACTGGAGTGGGTTGTCATTTCCTCTTCCAGGGGGATCTTCCCAACCCAGGGATCAAACCCTTGTCTCTTGAGTCTCTTCCATTGGCAGGTGGATTCTTTAAAAGTGTCTATTAACACTTAACTCTGTGCCACATACTCCATTAAAGTTCTGTCTATGTCTCACTTACTACTCACGACAACCCTTCGAGATAGGGTCTAGTATTCCCGCAGACAGAGAAAACTGGCTGTGAGTGCTTGCGCACAGCTGTAAAGTAAGGAGCATAACTCAGGGCTTCCTTCAGCCAAAACTCAGGCTCTTAACATGTACACATTGGCCTGGTCTCCCGCCTACTAACTGTTTCTTTATCCATTTCACTTACTGATTCCCTTTCTTTCATTCCTCAGAGGCAGTGGTTTCCCAAGATTTTTCCTTGACTTTCTTCATACTCAAACACATTCTTTCTGGATAATACTATTTGTTTTTATAGTGTAAATTCTCACTTTGGTATAACCTTGATTTTTCTTTGGGTTTCACATTTCCAGCAGCTTCCTGAGATCTCCATATGGCTGCTTGAGTGTCATGTAAGCATTTCAGAATAACACATGAGACATGTAGGACATTGGCCAATTTGAACATCTGGGGCTGCAATTGTAAGAGAGCTGGAGCAATAACTTTCCAACATTCTTTTTAAGCAGAAGACCATTTGATTTTTCAAATAAAATTTATGTCAAACCAATATTTAGGAATCCAATAAAATCAGAATGGCACTGTCTACAGAGGGAGTAAGAAGCCTAGATCCTATCCATTTGGCTTCATCCTTACCTACAACAGCAGTCCTTCCTGTATCTTTAGAATCTAGAACTCTATCATTTTAAAGGGCCTCCTAGTAGTTAATTATAATTCTTTAAAAAAAAATTTTTTTTTAAATTATAATTCTTTAATCCCCTTTGGAATTTAACATAATACTTCAGCTATTTGTTTTCTTGTCGTCTCAGTTTCAATTGAGAATTTAAATATTTAATAAACCAAGCTATAAAGTCTCAAAATTTAACTTATCCATTTTCCTTATTTTCTACATTCAATTGATTTATAACCATTGCTCATTCTAATGTCTAAATAACTCAGATTTATCCCTTGTTTTCCTTTTTTAAAAACTGCCACTATAAATCAGGCTTAACATGTCCACCGAAATAATCTCTTATTAAGTCTCCCTTCAGAACCCAACCCTCTCCCAATCCACCCTGCCTACAGAACTATGTTTATAAATTATGATTCTGATCATGTAGGTACATTGCTTCAAATCCTTCAATTAATATCCATCTCAAAAAACAAGTGCATATTCTTTAAAATGGTAAACGTACTAATTTTTAAGCTATATTCAATCTTCATCTCCTATTACTTTTCTTTTCCCATACCATCACTTTTTATCTAGGTACAGCAGACTACCTAAGATTGTCTAAATATATTCCATACTTTCATGACTTTCAGACTAAGTTCATGCTCAACACTCATGCTCAACACTCTGCCAAGAATGTCCTATCATTCATTCCCTCTCTGTCTCCACTTCAATGCCTTTCAAAATTCTACTAATTTTTGAAGTCCAACTTCTCTTAGAAGATCTTTCCAATAGATTCAAGCAAGTAATTTCCTCTCCAACTTGTTCTAATACTATTATGCTTAGGCCTCATGGTCTTTTACATTTTATAACTAGTTACTATATTATATAATTACTTTGTATAATCAGTTGGATCACGGGCTTATCTAGAGCAGGATAATGCCTACTCTAAATCTTTGTGCAGAATGCCTAACCCACTTAATAAATATATTTTGAGCTGAACTCAAAAGTAAGGCAGAATTATGATCTTTTCATGTGGAACCTACTGTTTAAAGAGAGCAGTCATTCATATAATCCCAGAAACACTCTAGAACTGTAAACAAAAGATTAAAAACCTATGCAGTATAAGAAATAAGGAAAACAGTATCAAAAAGAGATTTTTCTGGCTTTACAAAGAGTACAAAGAATACCCAACAGTAGTGATACTGGGATTTATTGCATTAAAAAGGAATAGACTGTCTCTGAAAATTATTTAAGGGTAACACAAATGTGTAAAATTCAAAACTGTTAAAATATTCATATTCATAGAACATATATATATATAATCACCCAACTTTTAACATTTTCCTTGAGAAGGCTTATAATTAATTTCATCTTTGTAAAGCCAAAGAAAAAAGACTATACAGGAATCATCATCATCATGCAACAGTTTGTTTTATTTCCCTTTTTGTGATGGTGAATTTTATGTATCACCTTAACTGGCCAAGGGGTGCTCACCTTAAACATTATTTCTGGGAATGTATGTAACCTCATTTGATTCAGTGGAATCAGTACATTGCCCACTCCAGTGTGGATAGATATCAGGCATGAGCTTGACATCTCACAGCTCTCTGGCCCTCTGACTGAGACTGATTAATACACCACTGGCTCACCCGGTTCTCAGGTCTTTGTACTCTGACTGAACTATACCACCATTTCACAAGTCTCCAGCGTGCAGACAGCAGATGGTAGACCTTTTCAGCTTGTATAATCATGTGAGCCAACTCCTCATAATAAATCTATCTATCACCTATCTATATATTTATCTATCTATTATCAGTTTCTCTCTATACAGCCTAAAAATCCTATTTCTCTGGAGAACAGTGACTATATACTTTTCCATAGACATGTTATACCTCTTAACCTAATCTGGTCATGATTCCCCTTGGAGTAAAAGCACAAAAATGCATCTGTGACTATTACAGAAATTAATCATACTATTTTAGTAAGTCCCCTAAAATTCACTAAGATACAGAGGTCATTCACTGCATCCACTTAAAGCAATTTAAAAACATTTTATTTACACTTCTCCATTAAAGCATGCTTACTTTTCTCCCCAAATTAATGGACAGTATAAAATCTATGCAATAAATACTGTCCTAAATGTACATGAGGAGTTAAGTAAGTTATTTTAAACATTGCATTTAATCCAATTTATTTGAAATTTTTTAAAAATTGAGCAGACCTTTAACTCAGTGCAAAAGAATAAAACAGGAAACCAAAAAAAGGCTCAATTTTTTTTTTTTGGTCTAATCCCCTTTACTTCTTTAAAACAAAATTACATTTATTTATTTTTAATTGAAGGGTAATTGCTCTACAATATTGTGTTGGTTTCTGCCAAACATCAATATGAATCAACCACAGGTATACCTATTTCCCTCCCTTTTGAACCTCCCTCCCGCCCCTCTGGGTTGTTACAGTTTGAGTTACCTGAGTCACACAGCAAATTTGCATTGGCTATATATTTTACATATGGTAATGTGTATGTTTCCATGTTAAGCTCTTCATACATCCCACCCTCTCCTTTCTCCCACCACCTCCATGTCCATCAGTCTGTTCTCTGGGATTTACTGCATTTATTGCAGAGTCTCCACTGCTGCTCTGCAAATAGGTTAAACAGTAGGTCTTTTTAGATTCAATATATATGCATTGATATACAATATTTGTTTTTCTCTTTCTGACTTACTTCACTCTGTGTAATAGGCTCTAGGT